ACATATCAATCAACCCAAGAAGTACCTTGTGCCCCTTTCTGATCAATATATATTGATTGATTGGTATATCGGTATATTCAATTCTTTGCCCCCTCCTTTTTTTTTCCATCTGGGTTATATGTTGTGGCAGACCTGAAAGAGATGCCATCCTATCCCTCTTTAGGTGAGCCAGTTCAATGTTTACTGCATTCAGTTGTAGAGAGCCACCTGGCACAGGTGCACATCCTTCCCAGGGGCAGACTACCTCCAGTGACTGATAGAGTTTAAAGACCTGCCCATTTGGGCTGAATGCAGCCAACTCTGATACATCACATATGCTCCGGCTGAGATTTTTTAGGTCTGCATCACAGTTCGGCTACTACCTTTGTCCAGTCCTTGCTTTTTCTTCCTTCCTTCCACAGGTGTTGATGAGTAATATATAATTGTATGCTAAAATCTCTGTTTCAGCATCTGCAATCAGAAAACACCATCTGTGATCACTGGTCCCAGGACAGGCTTGAGAAATCAAGGGTGAAGACAGAATTTGAAGCAGAATTATCTGTCACCTAGCTGGTCATAAAGACCCACCATTGGTAGGTAGTATAGTACAAACCAGGGGTGGCACTAAGTAGTGTTGAATTGGGACCAGGTCCCCAGGATTTAATATTCAGAGTAACTGATCCCTGGAGAAAGTTAAACATGGAACCAATGTAAGCCTGGCGTGCCAAAATTAGGACTCTGAGTGAAAAATAATGGCATTCTGACCCTAGGCTGGGGACAGTGGGTAGAAGTCCTCTTATGCTTTGCAAAGTCAAACTCCTCTGAAACTGCCAAAGTGGCCCACATGTCCCTATTAAGATCTAACACATATGAGTGAAATCATATGGTATTTGTCTTTCTCTAACTGGCTTATTTCACTAAGCTTAACTAACAAACACACACACACAAAAAGATCTAACATACCCTTGGTGAAAGAAGACAATGAAGAAGCTTCTCCCTCTAATGCAATCTGTACAACCCCCTTAGGATCTGCCCTCACACCCTTCCTGGACACTGGGTAAGCCACCACGAACAGTAGGAAAGGTCATGGTAAACTAGGCTTACTGATAGCAATGGGGTCATTAAGATCCCAAAACAAAAGACGTCATATGGTGGCATTTAACTTCCAGAAACCAGGTAGATAAGATTACCATGAATGGCAGGGTTGGAATGACATCCAAGAGGTCTCACATACACAGACTTATAGGAGTGTTTAACAAAACACATCCCTAGTGGCAAAACAGTGGAATATCCCACAAGGATAATACTCAGCTTTTACCATTAGAAAAAATTAAAAAGTCATGTCCAGCAGGGAGAGAACAGTTGCCCAATAAAAACAAAGTCATGATTCCTTGCCAAGTTTCTATACATGTACCAGCTTTAAAATCTGAGACATAATGCCTGAAGTCTGGCCCCCTGGAGGAAGGATTCTGCCACACCATGGCAAAGAGATGTGATGATTCTTCCATTCTTTTCCCAAAGGGACTTGCAACCATTTATTCAGGAAACTGCCCTCTGGGAGAGAGGGGACTGGGAAAACATTTCAGAGGTCTGAGCTGATATTCGTAACTGGAAACCTGAAGCATTATCTGTTAAATTCTTCTGTTGGAAGGATAGAGGTGGGGATAAGTCCCAGCCAAAGTCCATGTTACTGGGTCTATGATCCCACTCAGTGATCACTTCCCCAGTCCCTAAGATAACGGCAATTAGCAGACTTGATGGTTGGTGTAAGTCCAAATCAGTCCCTTGGCTGATAGGGTAGGAGCCATTACAGAAGACCAAGTAGAATTCTCTGAACCTCCTTTCTCCTCCCGGCCAAGGAAGTAAATACAAAACGTCATATCCTGACTAAGACAGCTAAAATTCGTGCTACCTTTAAGGACCTAAAGGGTGCATAAGTGGTGAACCCTGCAATATATCAGTGTGCTTTGTAAATTCGGCCCTTGCATAAAGCAGATAAGCCCTGGAGGATGAATCAACCTTGTATGGCAAATGAGACTTTGAATACATGATTAGGTGAATGATCTTGACATAGGAGATTATTCTGGTTGATAACTGGTGGGCTCAAAGGCGATCACAGTGATCCTCTTGAGAGGAAAACAAGAGAAGTTAGATAGAGAAAGAGATGCAGTGACAGGTAAATTATGGTTATGGCTTTGAACATGTAAGTAAGAGCTACACACCGTGGAGCATAGGGAGCCACAAAATGGTGAAAAGGACAAGGAAGTGGATTTTCTTCTCAGAGCCTCCAGAAGGAACCAGCTCTACAAACACTTTGACTTTAGCCCAGTGAAGCTGAGTTCAGATTTTAGAACTCTGGAAGTGTAAAATAATACTTTTGTGCTGTTTTGAGCCATTATTTTGGGAAAACCTGTTATAGTAGCCACAGGAAACTAACATAGGATGATTTTTGTTTATTTTCTCATTTTAAGGTTTCTATTCCATTGTTTTCTAGACTCCATTTGATGAAAAGTCAGCCATTATTAGTTTTCTTATTCACTGCATGAACCACATTTTTTTTTTTTCTTTAGCTGCTTTTAAGATGTTTTTATTTCGGCAGTTTGACTATGAAATGCTCTGGCATATATTCTCTCTGTATCGATCCCACTTGGCTTTCGTTCAGTAGAGGTTAGTGGTTTTAATGAAATTGGAAATATTTCATCTAATATTTCTTAAAATAGATTATCTTGCCCATCTGTCTCTTGTCTTCTGATGGAACTCCAGTTCCATGTGTGTGACACTGTGAGCTATGATCCCAGAACTTGTCAAAAGTTTTGCTCATTTTCCCAATCATTTCCCTTCACTGTGAATTATTTTGATTATGCTGACTTCCTATCTGTAATTTTTTCTTACACATTGTCTAATTTTGTTGATGCCGTCCTCTTTTTTATTTCAGTTACTGCATATTTTAGTTCTATGAGTTTTACTCAGTTATTGTTAAGCATGCCTCTGCCACTCTGAATTCTTCCATCTTTTCCTGAAAACTCTTGACCATCTTTTCCTGAAAATACTTTAAAATATGTATCATAGTTATTGTAAAGCCCTTGTCTTTTTTTTAAATTTTTTTTAAGATTTTATTTATTTATCTGACAGAGAGAGACACAGAGAGAGCAGGAACACAAGCAGGGGGAGAGGGAGAAGCAGATCCCCCGCCCAGTGGGGAGCCCGATGCGGGGCTCGATGCGGGGCTCGATCCCAGGATCCTGGGATCATGACCTGAGCCGAAGGCAGACACTTAACGAGTGAGCCACCCAGGCGCCCCAGTCCTTATCTTTTAATTTCAACATCTGGGATACATTTAGGTCTGTTTTTATTGACTAATTTTCTCTTGACTCTGCATCATATTTTGTCTGCTTTTCTGCATGCCAGGTAGCATTTTATTCTGTACTGGTATTGTGAAGTATACATGCAGAGATTTGGAATTCTTTTATCTGCACTTGCAGAGAGATTGATTTGGGTCTAGCAGGCAATTAAATTATTGATGGATCATCTCTAGTCCTGTGCAACTTAGGTTTAGGCTTTTTGAACTCTATTTAAATTTCCCATTAATCTTAGGGTGTAACGTATAGCTCTGTGACGCCCTTACTCCTGAATCATGGCCCATATGGGTTTCCAATGGGGAGTTTGAGGGTTTTATCAAGAACTTCTCCCAAACATGGGATAACTGGTGCTAAATCTGCTCAACTCTTTAGTCTCTTTCTTATGACTTTTAGCTGGACCCCTGGCATTCATTAACTGCACACATGCATTTCTGGAGTGTGATAAACATTGACATGAATTTATATGCAAACTTTGGGGGGGCCCTTCTGAAGCACCTTCCTTTCTGGTATGCCTTCCCTGAACTTCCAGCAGCTCTGATAGTCCCAAAATTTAACCTCTTATTCCTCATCCAGTAAGACTACTACTTTCTGCTTGAGCTCTATTTTCCTTGAACTATCTTGACTGGGGCATACCCTCAAAGGGAAAACAAATTTAAGATAAAACAAACAAACAAACAAATACCTTTATTAAATCTATTCGACCCAGTTAAGAACAATTTCCTAATTCTCACTAATGCATAATTAACAGTCTTAGGTTTATACCTGATAGTGTCATCCCAGAGCACATTTCATCAGCAAAGCCAATCAGCTTCTCTTTCTTGTTACTCAGTGTCATCTTCCCTTTAGCACATCATGGAGGGAAATTGTAAATAATCTTCAATTTCTTTGATCATCCCCCAAAAGGAGCAGTACAGAACCCCATGTCACCTTGCATTGTACATAATCTTTATGTACTACACCATGGTATGTATCGTATCATATTTATGATTATGTCAAAAAGGTATGACTCAAAATCAAACCATTTTTTTTCTTTTATAGAAAAAAGTTATGCTCTCGTAAAACTAGAGTTTTACATAGAAAATCAAGTTTGTGTAGGGAATAGTGCACACATTTAGAAACCAATACTTAATTTCATTTTTTTATTTGTTTGTTTCTGTCTGATTTCAGCAACCAGTTAGTGGAGATAATCTATTCTTTAAGAGGCATAATAAATCATAATAGTGATAAATAATTTATATAAATAAAAGTAGTGATACAATTTTCAGATTTAACCTCTTTCACTTAAATATAATACTAACAATAAGAGTAACAATGAGAAGAGCTAATGTGTTCTGGATGCCTAGTGTTCAGAATACTCTATTGAGTTTAATCCTCTTATTAAACCTATGAGGTAGTGGGATTTATAAAAACATCAAGGCATTATTTATTGCATTTCTTAAAATATAAAGCAACAGCATGAAATACTAGTAGTTTGCACACACCTTGTAGTCTATCCATCTAATACGCATTTGTTGAATGTATGGATCTCTGTGTACACAGGGAATCATAATACATTCTTGATGGCCTCTACAATGAGAGATTGTTATATAAACAAATACATTATTACAACAGAGTACAATATGTGCAATTGTATGAACATGGAAAAATCTTACAGACAAAACAAGGAAAAAATGGCGCACAAAGATTTTGATTTTACAGAGTAGAAGAATTAGAACTGTTGGTGAATGCTTCCTGGAGTAGTTGTTTCATATCAGATGATAGTTCAAAATACATTCACTTTCTCTCCTACTCCGGATCTCCATGTTGGATGGAGTATACTTCCTGGCCTCATGATTTTGGGTCTGGCTAACTTGATTTGCTTTGGCTAGTGGTTATTAACAGAGATGATCCAAAGGGTAAATGGGCTTGTTTCCTTGAGCTCCTGACTTTCATCACGAGAAGAACATGTCTTAGTAAACCCTGATCTGAGAAGGATGACATACGTATGGCAAAGAACCAAGCCCAACCTGCATCTTGGAGGCAAACCCAACAAGTTGAGCCTGAATCAACCAAATCACAGTGGACTGGCAAACTTGCAAGAGACAAGTGAATACAATGGTATATGCCTGATAAGGACTGAATGTTTGTGTCCCCCCAGCCAAGTTCATACTTCAAAACCCTAATCTCCAATGTGATGATGTTTGGAGGTGGGACCTTTGGGAGGTGATTAGAGTTTCATGAGGATGGGGACTTCATCATGGGATTATCACCCCTATAAAAAGAGACAAAGACACCAGATCTCTTTCAATATATATGCACCAAGGAAAGACCATGTGAGGATATAAGATGGCCTTTTGCAAACAAGTAAACAGGATCTCACCAGACACCAGATCTGCTGGCACCTTTATTTTGGACTTCCCATCCAGAATTGTGGGAAATTAACGTTTATTGTTTAAGCCATCCTGTCTATGGTATTTTGTGATAGCAGCCCAAACTGATTAAGGCAATGTCACTGACATTTTGTGGTTGTCCGTTTCATAGCAAATGCTGACTGACTGGGATAACCAGTATATTAATCTTCATCACAATACATGTTTAATTCAACATGTAGGTCATTGTGCAGAGGTATCAGTTGCATCCTTATAATGTTTTTAATTCCACCCCCATCATTGCTTGTGGATTCAGATCATCCTTCTACTATGTAAATGACTTACCTCTGAATATACAATGATTCCTTTCTTCTAAGGGTGAAGAGAGATACCAATTTTTTTTTTTTTTTTTTTTGCCCAGATGTATGGTTGCATATGTTTCCATCTATAATGAGCAGGGGTAGGAAAAATCTAAGAAAAAGTATGTAAGGACACATAATCAAAACATCTTCTTTTGAGTCAAATTTAGCTTCTATAGAAAAGCTTGGCAATTGGCTCTTATAATATCTGATCACTATGCATACTTTCAAGCCATCACCTCTGCCGAGTACAGAAAATACTTGAGAAAAAGAAAAAAAAAAGCAACATTTTGCTAATGCAACTTATGTTTTTAGTGTGAACACATGTTATTTTAAAAGTCCTCATTTCGACAGATTTTTATTTTTCAAAAGGCAATGAAAAGTGCCAAGGGAGCTAATAAATGAATTTCTCTCTCTCCAACTCTCTTTTCCTGACCTTTATCAAAGTCCACTTTATTCTCCTTTGGGGAAGAAAACGTGATTCGTGTCATTGCCCCTTAACCAAGAAAAATCTGAGGAAAGAACAAATAAAAGAACTTTTCATCTGGTCATAAAACAATAATTAATTGCACCATTAAGTAACCTATACAAACCTGGGGGGGAAATGGAGAAAAAGAGAAATCTTCCTGAGAAATATTCCCAGAGGACTGTTGTTAATCAAAGCCTGTGTGATTCAGAGAAAGAAGAAAGGAAGCCGTGGGAAAATGAGACCCATAAGGAGGCCTTGAGCACAGTACCTCAAGGGGGGTGTGAAGGAAAACATTTTTCAAGGATAGATTCTTCTGTAAGGCGCACATGGTTGATCAGGTCATGTGGTTGCTTTGTGAATTAACATCAAAGTAAAATTAGCTTATAGCCACAATTTATTTATTTATTTTTGCTTTCATGAGAGATTTGCTTCAGGGTGAATAAATAGAAGTTCTGAAGGGAATGTGTGATTCAGTAGCTTGTGAGACCTAGACCCCTTTCCTTCATGTTGCGTATTCTTAGGTCAGATGTTCTGATTTCTAACCCAAGATTTGAGCAGTTTGACCAGACTAGGACCTCTTGGTTTGACTTGCTTGTCAGATGTAGCACAGGAGTTTGAATGGGAGCTGTCACTTATATGATGCTTAGTAGGTACAGGTTAAAGGAGGGGTTGCATTGTTACTATTCAACATGATGACCTGATCCTTTCCTCTCAATGATTCTTTGAGGAATAGACTAAATAGAGATTAAGGAAGCAGTGAGACAAGTTAGAGGGAAACTCTGAAAAGAAAGCCAAAATCCTCCAAGATAGTCCTGCAGGGCTGGTCAAGGACACAAGCAATCAAGATGGAAAGGAACAGAGAAGAGGCCCTTATGGAAACAGCCCTGTTACCTGTCTTGGAGTATTTTTTCCTGACATTCACCAAGTTTCCCTCCTTCCCCTAATAAAATATAAGGAATGTTTACTTGTTCATTGATCTGTTCATTCAACCAAAATTTATTGTTTTATTCTGTATCCTCTTTAAATGTAACCCTGAGGTAAAAATTGTATTTGGTGGGTGAAAGAAACTCCAGTAAAGAATTGGAGATGGAAGGCAGAGAAGGGAAGGCAGTCACTGTGCATTATTAACCTGGAACCATGGTGGGTGAGTGGGGCTAACACCCACAGGAGAATCAAATCACTGTCAAGACTATTTTCTACCCAGAGGTGAACATTTTATTGCTATCCTGCTGCCCATTTCAAAATGTGTCCAGCCACCTGTTCGATATCAGTTTTTAGAAGTTCTTCAACTAAATCAAATCAAATGACAATATTATATCTCAATGATACTGACATAGAGATGCTCCAAATCTTAATATGCTTCTTATGAAATCCCCATGAACCCCATTAAAATCCAAACCATATTACATCCTCTTGTAAATTTTGTAAAGATTTCAAAATACTAAAAAAATTAAAGCTCCAAATTAAATGTCACCTTTTTTAGCTAAAGTTACCAAGCAATCAAAGTTGCCTCCAGTTTCTTGCTTTGGTAGATTCAGCCAAAGGGCGGAGCTCCTGATGGTTGGGCTGACTCATCCTGGAAGGGCTATAGTTTCTTCACAGCCACAGAACCTGTTTGCATTCAAACCCAAGTCTTACTTTTTAAAGTCAAATGAGGTTTTATCAAATACAAAATTATTATGGTACGGAAGCCCCAATAACAAAATTTAAAGATAAGGTGATCTGCAAACCCTAGAGCTAAATTATATTTGCAGAACTCAGGATTTGGTATTGCTAAATACTTTTTCAAAGAATTAGGAGTATTTGTGGGAAGGACAATAGAGGGAATTTTGATTTTGTTTGTTTGTTTTGTTTTACCCTTATCAGTATGTTAGCCAATCTATGTCAGGTTTCCAAAATTTATAAACTATGCCCTTTAATTCAGTCTCAGAACTATCCCAATAAGAGGTTGATTTGGGCAGAATGCATTTACCATATCTAAGAGTGGGAAGCAACCAATGCATGCTGTTTCTCTTCGAGTAAGTGTTGAGAAACTATGGCCCTGTAAGACAACTACAGTTTTTGTAAATAAAGTTTTATTAGGACACAGTCACATTCATTTATTTACATATTGTAGATGACTGTTTTCTGAGCCACAAAAACGAAGTTCACCCAAAACTATTTAAAGAGACCTGATGTGGTAAGCCTGAAATATTTACCATCTGGCCCTTCAAAGAAAAAGGTGTTCTGTCTTAATAGCACTAAAAACCTTTTTGTTAAATTTAGAAAATTGCAAAGTTGGGGGCCCAGGTCACAGGGTCAGAGCCCAAATCAGATGCTTTTATCTCACATCAAGATTATTTAAAAATTATCAGTTTACATTTCTTTCCATATGGTGTGTTTCTAAAGTCTCATTTCTTCATTATGCATTAACTCGGGCTATTGGCTGAGTTAATAATCTCTACAGTGCATGATGAGCTGGCTTAGGCCATTGGAGCAACTGTTAGTAACTCTGAGTGTGGAATAGCATAGTTCCATAAAACTGCCTCATCACATGTGGATTGCAGCCAAAGAATCTTGTTTGGTAGATTCCTATAGTTATGCTCCTGAGAAGAGTAACAAACAATAGCTCTTCTAAATGCTCTTCAAGACACTGTCTGCCCTGTGTTTTTGGCAGTTCCACCTCTCAAGGAGTGCTTCTTGCTGCATCTTTGTTTTTCCCTTCATCAGTGACTATACCTCTCAAGTTTGAGTCTCCCCCTGCTGTTCTACTCCTTTCCCATGGGCATTTATCTTGGTTCTTTCTTTCTCTAACACATGTAGGTCTAGTACTATTTGTTATATCAGAACCTCTTCTCCTTTCTATTTCCCCTTTGCTTATTGCCCAGGGCATTTTTATTTTTACTGTATTCTTCAGTTAATGAGTTCTGAGTCTTGTAAATGCATCTACTGTTCAGAGAGATCTTGTCTACCAAGCTGGGTTAGATAATCCCACCAGGAGACTTTCCTTCCGTTAGATACACAACTAACCCAGGTCAGAACAATTTATTATCATCCAGTACAACTTCCTGTCAACAACCCTCCTCTTTTCTTCTAGTTCTCATGTCATAAATCTCCTAGGCCTACCAGAGCATCACCTTGAAGTCACCCCATAATTCTTTGAGAATTTCTGATCCTAATCCAAAAATAGCCCTCACACATCCCCACCTTACCCTAAATGAGGAATGGGATCATGGGCAGCCAACCTAGTGTTGCTTACTAAAGCCTGGTATTAATAATTTAAAACGGGACCTTCATGACTATTCTTGGGCAGAAACAGGACTCAGGTGCCTATATCCTCTAAAACTGCAAGGCAACTTTTGCATTAAGGAAGGTTCCTGCAAAGTTCAGAGTCATTCTGTGGCAGCCACTCTAAAGACCTTACAATATAGCAAGAATAAGACTAATTTTGTTTTAGCTAAAATGCCCTTACAGCAAAATTGACTACCTACATTATCAAACTAGGATATTTTTCAAGTGAAGGGGAATGGAACATTAGGTCTAAACCAGATTGAGCTGGAAAATAGGATGACTGGTTACTCTACTTGTAGTGGATGCTTTACAAGTGGAGGCCTTTGCTGGGTCCTAACCTTTGCTGAGTACTTGCATGGTATGATATAAACCCCCATGATTGTAGTAACATTTCTGCCGAAGTAGCCTGATCCCAGTATAAGAAATAGCCTTAGCATTACCACCAATACAGGCACATGAGAAAGGGGGGTGGCCCACAGCATAGCTGAAGGCTTTCCTGTAGACCTACTTTATCTTTGATGCATGACCAAGAGCTATGTAGGTTATTAGGAGTGGTTCCTTTGAAGTGATGTGCTAATGTATTCATTTCTTCAAGATAAAACTTGTGACAAAAGACTGAGATGAAGTTTAGGAGATGAGCATCACCATGTCAGTCCTTCATCTTAACACTGGGGGGACAAGGGCCACCATGGAACCATTTCTCAGCATACAGGTGATAAGACCTGATCATACACAGTCTCATTGGTTCTCGTGTGGAAAATATATTGTGCTGGGAAAGTGGATTCAAGGAAGGTAGTTGGAAAGCTTTCACAGCTAGAAGGCTACTACAGATGTGTGCTCAAGGATAACGTGAGCTTAAACTAATGCAGCTGCAGGAGACAGAAAACAGGGCATACTATTATATCAGAGATTAGGGGTAGAATTACAAAGAAAGGATAAGGAATTTTGTTAGATTTCTGGCTTAGTATCACCCACTGAGAGAAAACATAGGACAAAATTTGGGTTTTAGCAGAGGCTGTGAGCAGGGAAAGGGAGATTAATTATAGAAAGAGGAAAAGAGGGGAATACAGAAGAAATGCATCTTACCCTTCATGATTTTGCTGGGTTCTTCCCAACTTAACCCTGAGTGTGTAAATGCATTAAGTTTTACTAAGCGATTCCACCATCCAAAGTGAAACAAGGTAATTTCTTTTTCTGGGTATTCCTTCTCTGAACTGATTCATGGAGATGGGTAAACATACATTTTTTGAGAGCTGGATTAAGATCAAGAAAAAAAAATGGTTTTGACCCTTGTTCGACTGTGGATTATTATTCCACCTGCCTAGTCTTTAGTTACTTTATTTGAAAAATGGGGTAATAATACCTCCATCAAATCAATGACATCATCAAAAGATAAAAGGAAATATTATATGTTAGATATTCAGTATTATGCTTGGAGAAAGGTCAGAATTTTCCAACTGGTGATTTTTGTTGTAGAGTGTTTGATCATTTATTTCCTGAAATACAAAACCAGAAGGATGGACATCAGAAAGAAAGAATATTCTTTGAGCATTTATTTATTCAACTAAAACATTAAAATAATATAAACTAACATGAGGAACATATATTTCTGGCCATGTTGGAGTAACTGGTACTAGACTTACTCTCTTCCCATAAGTAGCTAGAACACTGGACAAGATATATGAAACCATTGTTTTAGACAATAGAAAACAGGTATTGCTGGATTGCTAATCTTGAGAGGAAAAAAAAAGCAAACCAAGGTGAATCACCCTGGATTTCTTGCTGGACACCCCTTTCGGAATATCGTACAGGGAATAGAGGTCCAGTTAGTTATGAAGATAACACATAGAAGTTCTAAGAGGCTGAATCAGTTAGAATTTATGGCAGAGTACATAAAAGAGAGCTGTGCGTGCACACATACACACACACACACACACAATACCTTTAAAAAACTGTATTAAAACTGCATAGGAATTCTGCAGCATCTTGTGGGACAATAAGGTGTACTTGCATAGAATGTAATTTGAAAAGACCAGGAAAAGAACTATCAGAGGACTATCAGGTGAAGAATTACCAGAGATTACAAAGGACTGGAAGATATCAAGGCTTCTAGGAGGCTGAATGGAGAGATCTCATTGAATATTGGAGGCATTCGTTAGAGCCTTGAGAAGGGTAACACTTCAGCAGTAAGCCTGAACAAGCCTAGAGGAAGAGCTGCTTAGAGCTATCATAACAAAGTTTGAAATCAAGGCTCCAATGATTAAGCTATCCCAGTGCAATGTAAGTGCCTACCAAAACAAAGATTAATGCTCTGTTAAGGGAGGTCAGCTCCTGATATTCAAAAACACATCATTCACAAGTGCTTCTCATCCAATCAGAAATTATTTCATGTAAATGAGCATAAAACTAGAACCTGTAACCAGTCATTAAAAATAAATTCACAAATGACAGAGATGATGGAAATAGTGTGCAAGGACTTCAAAACAGGCCTGATAAATTCTATGGTGGATATAATTTAAAACATACACATATTGGAGAAGGAAATGGAAGATATAAAAATTAGCCAAATGGAAATTATAGAAATTGATGCCTACAGACATTGAGAGTATTATAAGAGAATACTATGACAAGAATTTCAGCAAATTAAGATGTCTAAGGTTCTTGAAGACACTAATTAACAAAATTGACAATAGAAGATATTTTAAAAATCATAATAGCCTTGTATCTATTAAAAAAAAAAAGCTTGAATTCATAATTGAAAACCATCTCACAATGAAAATCCCTGACCTAGATGGCTGCATTAGTGGATTAAATCTAATGCTTAAATTAGTAATAATACACAATTAAAAAATAGAGGAATGGGAAGAACTTCCCAAATCATTTAATGAAGACTCCATTATTCTCACACCCAAACTGGCAAAAATGTGATAAGAAAATTTGGGACCCAATATTCTTAATAAACATACAAGCAAAAATCTTCACCAAAATGCTAACAAATCTTATTTAGTGATATACAAAAGGGATAATACACTCTGCCTAAATGAGGGTTGTACCAAGAATTTAGGTTATATGCTTATAACATTCCAAAATGAGTCAATGTAATGTAACGATTTAATAGAATCAAGGGGAAAAGTACGTGATAATTTCAAAAGATATGGGACTCTCCTATAATAAGTTCAATATCTATCTATTCATGAATAAAATATTCAGCAATCTAGCAATAGAAGGAAACTTACTAAAATTGATCAAGAGAACCTTTGAAAAACATACCGCTAGCATGATACTTAAGAGTGAAAGACAGAATGCTTTCCCCCAAAGATTATGAACAAGATAAAAAGGTTCCATCGTCATTCCTTTTATTCCACACTTCACTGGAGTTGTTAGTCAATGTAATAAGTCAAATAATAAAGACAACAACAACAATAACAATATAGGCATTCAGATTCGAAAGAAACAAGTACAACTACCTTTTTGGTTTTTTTTGTTTGTTTCACAGATGTTATGATCCTGTATGAAGGAAATCCTGTGAAGTTTCTTTTAAAAAGGAATTAAGATTTTAGATAAACCAGCAGGGTTGTAGGATACAAGATCAACATACCCAGTCAATTCTATTTCTGTACACTAGTAAAAATCAACCAGAAACTGAAATAAAATAAACAATACCATTTGTCATAGCATCAAAAACATGAATTATTTATGAGTACATATGACAACCTATAGACTGAAACATTGATGGGAGAAATTTAAAAGAGTGAAATGAATCAAAAGACTTCATCAATATTTTAAAATATCAATTCTCCATAAATTATTCTATGGTTTCAATACAATCTTCATCAAAATTCCAGCAGGGCTTTTGTAGAAATTAAGAAGCTGATTCCAAAATTCATATGAAAATTCCAGGAACCTAGAATATCTAAAACACAGTTTTGAAATAAAAAGGACAAAGTTTGAGGACTTCTACCATCTGATTTCAAGACTTAACAAAACTATAATAATCAAGACAGTCTGCCCTGGGTAAAATACAAATAAATCAATGCAACAGAATAGAGAAAGAATAATGGACCCATAAATAGATAGTTGACTTTTGACAAAGTTGCAAAGTCAACTCAGTGGAGAATATAATCTTTTGAATGGATGGTACTGGAAAATTTGAATATTCTTATGGGAAGAAACAATAAGTTTAGATCTTTACTTTTCATCACATATTAAAATTAGCATAATTGGATTATAGACCTAAATGTGAAACCTAAAGCCATAAAACTTTTGAAAAAAAAAAAAAAACTTAGCATTGAGATATATGACCTGGGCTTAGGCAGAAGTCTTTAGACATAACATCAAAAACATGATCCACATAAGAAAAAAAGATTGATAAATTGAACTTTATCAAAATTAAAAATTCTACCCTTTGAGGGGTTCCTGGGTGACTAAGTCAGTTAAGTATCTGCCTTCAGCTCAGGTCAAGATCCCAGGGTCCTCAGCAGGGAGTCTGCTTCTCCCTCTCCCACTGTCCCTCGCCATTCCTTCCTACTCTCTCTCTCCCTCAAATAAATAAATAAAATCTTTAAAAAAATTCTACTCTTTAAAGACATTGTTAAAATGAAAAGACAAGCCGTGTACCAATAGAAATAATTAGAAAATCACACATTTAGGAAAGGACTTGAACTCAGAATATACAACGAAATCTCAGCAATCAATAGTAAGCAAATAACCCAATAAATGAATGGGCAAATTGTTTGAAAAAACACTTCACCAAATAACACTACACAGAAGTGTAGAGAGCAAAATGGAGTCTCTTCTGGCAAGCAGGAGCTTGTGTCAAGCAAAGACACAAGCAGTTAAGGTACTGCAGCTAGGGGATATCACCAGGACAAATGTCAGCTGACACCCCAGAACTGACAAGGAGTAGAACCAGAGGAGGTCTGTGATGAGGGAGCAAAAGGCAAGCTGAGGACAAAGCAGAAGCAGACATCCCACAACACGCTCCCCCCCCATGGGATATATGTGACATTCCTCAGGCTCTCCTGGCTGCCCTAAAGCTAAGGAAGGGAAAAATAGTTAACTTAGAGAGATCACAATCCTGCAAGATATGAGTCTCCCTCGGTTTACAAATGTCTTAGCGATCTATAAGAACTAAGCTTTTCTATCAATAACCTAGCTTCCAGAAGGAAATGTAGATACAATTAAATGTCCTTATAACCTGTGGCCCAGTGACAGATACTTGAAGCAGGCAGAGTGTAATGTTCCTCCGGGAAGCTCCCAAATATCTTACTGTGAACGCCTTGCCAGAAGGAAAAACAATCTTAATTGACAATGGCAAGGCCTTCTGGTATCCTGGGAGTCTTCTTTAATGTATGAAAGTTCTTTCTCGAAAACTCCCTTTTTCCTTATTTCCCCCAACCCCATAGTATATAATCAGCCACACCTCACAACCCCTGTGCAGTAGCTCTTTCTGCCCATGGGTCCAGTCCCCGTGCTTTAATAAACCACCATTTTGCACCATAGACATCTCCAGAATTCTTTCCTGGTCATTGGCTATGGACCTCACCCCACCGAACCTCACCTATATTCCAAAACCTTGTCAGCTTGCAGAGACCCAAAACTAATTAAATCCCTTTAAAAAGGGAAGGGTTTTGGCAGCAAACTGTCAGATTCTTCAGACCTGGCTCCTGTATGTCTGACCACTGAAAAAGGGCAACTGCTGCCACAGGTTCTGCCGGATGGATCTCCAAACAGAAATGAGATCCTTCCCTGCTTGAACAACAGAAGCAGTAAGTGCTGAGAGCTGAGCCCGACCAGACCAGACCGAGGACTTATCTCAATTGCGGGCCCACAGACTGACTTCACATTTGGTTCGTTCACTTCCCGCACCCTTCTGTTACCTTGTTTGTTGAGTGGCTTGTCTTCTGTCCTGTTTGTGTGCTGTGTAAGAAGCCAAGTTTAATCACATGGTGAATTGTCATTGCGTTTGGAATCCTGAACCTGCTTTATAATTGTGATTCAACTTTGCTTATGACTGAATAAAGCTGACATTGTGGAAAGACGCAACTCGTGTGCGCCTTCTTAGCATGCTCATGACAATAAACAAAGAGGCACATGAACAAAATACTCAACATCATTAGTCATGAAGGAAACACAAATTAAAATCATACTGAGATAATAGTATAAACCCGTAGTAACACATCTAACATGAAAAAGTCTGGGGATGCCTGAGTGGCTCAGTCAGTTAAGTGTCTGACTCTTGATCTCAACTCAGGTCTTGATCTAGGCAGGATCTTGAGTTAAAGCCCCATGTTGGGCTCCATGCTGGGCATGGAACCTACTTTAAAAAAAAAAAAATTTTTTTTGATCACACCAAATGTTGGTGAAGATAGGAAACAGATGGGCCTCTCATGATTTGCTGGTAGAAATATACAATGGCACACTTGATGTGGTTTTGAATGTTGGGGTTCAGAGGTGATGGCCAAGAAAATTTTTTGAGATGTCTTCCTTGCAAAAAGGTGGCTTTATTAAAGCAGACGGTTAGGACCCTGGGCAGAAATTGCTGCACTGGAGTTTTGAGGAATGACTGATTATATACTTTGGAGTTGGGGGACAAAATGACAAAGGGAGCTTTCCAAAAGGACTTTCATATGCTAAAGAAGAGTCACAGGACCCTGGAGACCTAGATATTGTCAAGCTAATGTTGTTTTTCCCTCTAGCAAAGCATTAACCTTAAGACAGTTGGGAGTTCCTGGAGGAATGTCACACTCTGCCTGTCTCAAGTAGTTATCAATTGGCTGCAGGTTATAAGGAAATTTAATCTGATCTACATTTCCTTCTGCCCTTGTTCCCCACATAACACTCACCAGTGTGAACAGTGGCAGCTCCACTAAAAGCTAAACATATATTTACCCTATGGACCCGATATTCCAATTTATGGAATGATTATCCCCCCACAGCTTTGGCGTCCTCTCCAGAACACACTTGCTCATTATTTGCAATAAGGATAGGTAGAGAGTTTTCCAAGTCTTCAAGCTGTGGTTCCTTTCTGCATCATTACCTTTTCTATGTTTCTTACTCTTCTCAAATTTTTTACTTTATTTTTTTAAAGATTTTATTTATTTACTTGAGAGAGAGAGAGTGTGTGTGGGGTGGTGGGGTGTGGGGAGTCAGAGGGAGAAGCACTGAGTGTGGAGCTCCATCCAGGGATCGATCCCAAGACTCTGAGATCATTACCTAAGCTGAAATCAATCACAACCAACTGAGCCACCCAGGCGCCCCCTCACTCTTCTTGAATTTTACTGTAGCAGCAAGGACAAAGTTTGCTTAGAAATCTCCTCAGCTCAATATCCAAGTTTATCACTTATAATTTCTGCTTTCCACAAAACAACAGAACACAGTTTGGCTAAGTTTTTGCCACCTTATACCAAGGATCATCTTTCCATCAGTTTCCAAGAACATGTTTCTCATTTCACCTGATAACTCACGAGAATCCCCTTGAGTGTCCACCTTTCTGTTAACAATCTCTTTAAGGCAATCTAGGCTTTTTCTAACGTGAACCTTGAATGCCTTTCCACCTCAACCCATTACTATGTTCCAAAGTTACTTCCACCTTTTTAGGGGCTTGTCACAGCAGCACCACACTTCTCTGTACCAAAATCTTTATTAGCCAGGATTCTCCAGAAACCAACAGGATGTATGTGTGTGTGTGTGTGTGTGTGTGTGTGTGTGTGTGTGTAAAATTATATATGTAGAGATGGTGTGTGCTGTGAATTGTGCAAGACTGTTGAATCATAGATCTGTACCTCTGAAACAAATAATACATTATATGTTAAAAAAAGAAGAAGAAGAAGAAGAAGAAGAAGATAGGAGGGGAAGAATGAAGGGGAGTAAGTCAGAGGGGGAGATGAACCATGAGAGACGATGGACTCTGAGAAACAAACTGAGGGTTCTAGAGGGGAGGGGGTGGGGGGATGGGTTAGCCTGGTGATGGGTATTAAAGAGGACACATACTGAATGGAGCACTGGGTGTTATACGCAAACAATGAATCATGGAACACTACATCAAAAACTTATGATGTATGGTGATTAACACAACATAATAATAAAAAAATATATATGTAGAGAGAGAGACAGATGGACAAAGGCACAGACATAGAGAGAGACAGAGATTTTAAGGAGTTGGCTCCACATGATTGTGAAGCCTTAGTAAGGACACAATTTGATGCTGTGCATATTGTTATTTTACGCAAATTAACCTTAGTTAAGTTGATTTGATAATAACAATAATATCACTTACCTGGTAGAATTATTTAAGTAATAAATAACTGATGATGTCAGTTCAGGAATTGTTCACTTGATGATAGTTTTTTAAAAACCAGCCTCTAGGTTTTCTAAGTAAACCTGATTCCTTCAATTGGCTGTCTTTTTAACTTATATTTTCTCCTTAGGACTTTATATTCTTAAAGGAATCTCAGACTGTTTTCTCAGAGCTCATGAGGTTAATCAACTCAAATTATAGGTGGCAAAATCACATGGAGTCTCAGCATATTTATCTGGTAGATGAGAATTTTGTATTCTTGAATGCATTAAATCAAGCCAAGGGTCTGATGTTATAAGCATTTGGAATTTCTTCTCTCAGATGGATTTTTTTTCTTCAAAAAAAAGCTGATTGGTGCAAACCTGTCTCAGATTTAATGGTTAAAACCAGGAATGAAGGGGGGTAAATCGGAGGGGGAGATGAACCATGAGAGATGATGGACTCTGAAAAACAAACTGAGGGTTCTAGAGGGCAGGGGCCTGGGGGGATGGGTTAGCCTGGTGATGGGTATTAAAGAGGGCACGTTCTGCGCGGAGCACTGGGTGTTATGCACAAACAATGAATCATGGAACACTACATCCAAAACTAATGATGTAATGTATGGTGATTAACATAACAATAAAATATTAAAAAAAAAACCCAGATGTACTTATGAAAGAGCTTACCACCTATATGGAATTGGGACAGGCTCCGCTTCCCCACCAAACTAAAGGAATAGAAATTATAAATGTCCATTGACTATTTGCTGAATATGCCTTTTAAGAGCCAATCTTTGTTTTACTTTGATTGAGCAACACAGCACCATCTTCCCTACATTTGTTACAGTATAATTTTATCTGACTCAGTTGGAACATGTTGCTGTATCAGAAATGGTTCTCCTTTCAAAAAGTTTATAGTATCAGTGGGCAAAGACAAAGCATGCTCATTTTCAGAATAGAGAGAAACTATAGAAAGTTTTATGTTATCAAGTAACAAATAAATACTAGGGAAAACAATCTGAAGATGTTCAGGAACCAGAGATCTCATAGTGGGCTGTAGTGTTAGAATGTTTTTATAGTGAAGGGGACACAGATGTCACAAAACCCGTGGTCAGATAATCAACTCAAGTATCTTAAAGGAGAGACGTCCTGCATACAATAAGTATTTTAAGTACAATAGAACTCATTTACCTAGTTGTAGTTTCAGGATATCTGTAATTCATTTTCTAATAGTAGATACCTTTGGGAAATAATGGTCTTTGCAATTGCAAGAAGTTTTCGTTAGCATAGTTAGATATTGTTCTGGTGGCTTATTACAACTAAAGTTTATTTTCACTATATTACATGCCCACTGCTTGCCAATACTGATAGAGAGGGGAGAGGGATCTGCTCCATTCACTCAGGGACCAGCTGTTAGATGCTCTCCACGTGATGCACTCTCTGTGTCAACTGAAATTCAAGAATATCTGGGTCTCCATGACAGAGGAAGAGACAACTATATGATCATGCATTAGGCTCTTACACACTTCGGGCAAGAAGTGATATTCTCATTTCTGCCCACAGTCCATTGATAAGATGCAGTTTCAGTCCTGTCAAAGTGAAAAGAGGTTGGAAAATGTGGGTGAGCAGAGAGAATGTGTGTTTAGGATTACAGCTCTGGCACAGTTTGCTTATTCCTTTATTAAAGGAATAGACATTCCTTCGTTCCCTTCTTCTCATACAGAACATAGCCATCCCTTTCCCAGGGGAGGCAACTGAAGTTCCAAGTTTGAACCAATAAGCTCATGATGGGTCAAAGTCTGGAATCCCTAAATATTGCAAAAGTGTGGTTGCATTAAGTCCAGATATTCTTTTCTTGGTCAAAAGAACTATGAACAAAGAGCCTATTTATCACCTGCCAGGCACCTAACAGAACAGAGAAAGAATAACCATAACAATTATTCCCATCAGGAAAGGTGATGGTCCTGAAAAATTCTTCAATTCCATCAGTTCGACACTGTGAGTTCCCTCTACCCTTGGTGTGGATTTATTTCATGATAAGGTTATGATCGTGACCTTTGGAAAGATCCTTACCTATGCTTCTCCGTGGCCCTTAGCCCTATCTTCTTGTGCTCTTGTTTTGCATTATCCTCCTTGACTACATTTGAAGAGAGTGTTAAGGAATATACTCTCCTTGATCTGTACTGCTTTTTTCTGTTCCCTTCCTGCTCCAAGAATTCTCGAGGCTTAAGAATCATTTTTATAAGAATTTTTAGTCCAAGTTTGTTAAGTCTTGCCAGTACAAATGTCTTTAAATAAAATAGTAGACTTGTTATGTATTTGAGTCTAGTCAAGTCCATGTTCCAGTAACCATTACCAGATTGTCCTTTTGAAGGAAAAGTTCCAGGCTCTGCTATATTTTACTGATTTCCCACCAACTCTCTCTTCCTATTTCTTGCTTCTCTCTCTCTCTCCCTCTCCCTCACTTTTTTTTTCTCCCTCCCTCCATTGGCACTATAGTTTTTGTAAAATAACTATTTTTCATCTGACCTTAACCTGATTATTTCCCTAAGTAAATTTTTATCTAATAGAAAAATGTAGTGGGTCGGGATATCCTTAATCTAATTTTTGCTCTCACATACTTAGCCATTTGAGAGATGTGGGCTGTTATGTGACCTTA